CAAACAATGAATCATGGAACACTACATCTAAAACTAATGATGTAATGTATGGGGATTAACATAAGAATAAAAAAATTAAAAAAAAAATCATCCTAGATTATCCAAGTAGGACCTAAATCCAATGACAAGTATCCTTATAAAAGACACAGAGAGGAGAAGGTGATGTGCAAAGGGAGGCAGAGAATAGGTGTAGCCACAGGCCTACTTATCGCAGTGATTGGTCAAAGCCACCGTAAGCTAAAAGACATGGAACACATTCCCTCCTAGATCCTCCAGAGGGAGTGTGGCCTTGTTGACACCTAGATTTTAGGCTTCTGGCCACCAGAACTATGAGAGAATAAATTTCTGTTGTTCTAAGTCACCCAACTTGCATTCGTTTCTTAACAACAGCCTTGAGAACCTAATACATTATTTAATTATTTATCCAAAATATCATTTCATCATGTATTGAATATCTAAGTTATTAATGACATATTTTCTTCTTCTTCTTCTTCTTTTTTTTTTTTTGTACTAAATCTTTGAAATCTAGTGTGTGTTTTACACTTACGGTATATTTTGTCCTGGATAAGCCGCATTGTAAAGTGTTCAATAGCCACATGTGCCTAGTGGCTACTGGAGAGCTCAGCCTTAGACTGCCATCTAGATAATTGTGTTAAGTGATCTCTTTGCTTAAGTTTATTCCTAGATATTTTCCTTTGTGATGTACTTTGTGATGTACCAGACACTCTTCCCCTTCTACTCTCAAAGGACCTAACCATCCCACAAAGTTGCCTGGATAGCTTTAGAAAGGTTTTCCAATTTAAGTTTACCTTTCCTTCTGTGGGTATAGATGGAAGCAGCACAGCAGCCAGAAACACCACTAGTGGGAATAATGCCATTTCTGGGAAATAAGTCAAAGAGAACAAAGGTCTGCATTAAAACATGTAGTACACGGACCTCAGACTATGAGGAAAAGCCAATGTAGTGATCTTGGTTAGTTTAAAGGAACTGTAATTCCCACATTCATAAAAAATATGGCAAGAGGAGATTGTTATTTGGTGTCAGTAGAATCATAGTGGAACCAATTTTGTCACTGATAGGGACAATAAAAAATAAAATGAAACACTTGACTGATGCTCTTAAAGTATACATCTAAAGGCTAGGGACATGTCATCATATTTCTGCTCAGCTCTATTGCTTCTAAGTTCATTAAAAATGTGGAAAAAAGGGGCACCTGGGTGGCTCAGTCGTTAAGCGTCTGCCTTCGGCTCAGGTCATGATCCCAGGTTCCTGGGGTCGAGCCCCGCATGGGGCTCTCTGCTCAGTGGGAAGCCTGATTCTCCCTCTCCCACTCCCCCTGCTTGTGTTCCCTCTCTAGCTGTCTCTCTCTCTCTGTCAAATAAATAAAATAAAATCTTAAAAAAAATGTGGAAAAAATAGATTTCTTCAGAGTTAATTATGGTACTGCATTGATTATTCATCCCAATTTTGGGGAAAAGGTTATTTTCAGTATGCACTATCTCTTGTTTTGCTCTGCTCTATAAATAGTAGAACTGTTTGTTCTTTTATTTACACATGGTTCTAATCAAGATTCCAAGGTTATGTTTACACAGAAATAAATGTACAGGGGAGCCTGGATGGCTCAGTTGGTTAAGCGTCCAACTCTTGATTTCAGCTTGGGTCATGGTCTCAGGGTCATGAGATTGAGCCCCACGTGGGGCTCTGTGCTCAGCGTGGAACCTGCTTGTCTCTCTACCTCCCCCTCTGCCATTCTGCCCCACGGGTGCATGTTCATATGCATTCTCTCTCTCTCTCTCTAAAATAAACAAATAAATCTAAATATATATATATATATATATATATATAAACACTCTATTAGTGGTTATTTCCCTGGCAGAGGGATTAAAAGTTATTTTGATTTTATTACTTATATTTGTCTATATCTCAAATTTCCCAGTATAAAAAAATAAAATACAAGTAATATATTGAAAATCAAGTCTGTTCAAATTTGCTGAATCCATGATTTGGTACAAAAGTTGTTTAATATTCTCACTAACTTTTAAAAGACACAGTGTTGTCCTTTCTCAACGTGTCAAAAAAATTCTTGGTCATTTAGATGAAGCAACAAGCCCAAGTTTAAAAAAAACACTTATCTTCTGGCCATTAGTCATATAAATTACTCACTTTGTAAACTAAAGGGATGTTGCATTGATTTGTTTTCTTTGTGTGATATTGGTACTCTGAAATTCTTGAAAAGAAAGAATATTCGAAACAATTTATCTGTGGTACTTCTTAGGCCTTATTGATTTGTAAATAGTAGACAATTGATAATTGTTCCATGGATTCCCTTTATCCTCAATAATGTGCTCATAAAAGGGAGAAGATTGAACATTTATTGACCATGTAATGCAAAATTTGCTGTCTAATTTCATCATCATACTTTGGTGGGTATGACTATATTTTACAGCTGAAGAAATTGAGCATTAGAACAGTTAATTTACCTATGCCAATGGTAAGTTCTTTTTTTTTTTTTTTAAGATTTTATTTATTTGACAGAGAGACAGCGCGAGAGGGAACACAAGCAGGGGGAGTGGGAAGGAGAAGCAGGCTTCCCGCAGAGCAGGGAACCCGATGTGGGGCTCGATCCCAGGACCCTGGGATCATGACCTGAGCTGAAGGCAGATGCTTAACGACTGAGCCACCCAGGCGCCCCGCCAATGGTAAGTTAAGTAACTTCAGAAATTAGCTTCCCACCAAGTATAACATCAAAGTCAAAGCACACTGAAAAGAACATAGTTTCATCTGAGAAAAGCAATCATTTTGGAGTACACTGGAGGCATTCTTATCCTCATTTTAACAATCCCTGTATTAATACATAATCATAGATGTTCATAGTAAAAATCATCAATAATATATACAATTTGTCATTCTTTTACATTTCTTCTAGTAAAGATAGTTCTAGAATAATTGTTTCAAAGTCATAAACCTGAGAATTAATTATATTATCTATTTTAAGATGAAATCTAAAGAATTAATTTAAGTTTCAACTTGATAAAGTGAGTAAAGAGTAAAATTAACTTGATTCTCTTAATAAAAATGTATCCATAAAGTTTTGAAAATCATGGATAAATGTATTGAATATACAGTTTTACCATTGGCAACACAAAAATGATTGACAAAGTGTTCACATTAAAATAAATGAGTTATCACTTAACTGTTGGTTCTCAGAGCAGGAGGAAGTATTTGCTTTATCTGTAGAAAGAAGGAAGGTAGAGAAGAGGTTAGAGCACAATATATATCTATTCTGTTTTAGCAAATTCTGCTTGTATAAGTAGATCTAAGTCAATAAATTTTTGAAACAGAATTTTCCACACCAGTATCTTCAAATTTCATTGCTAGTTGTCTGACATGTCTTTTGACATTATTTGGTTTCCATATAACATTTTTTTAAAAGTTTTTAAAAAGACAAACTTCATTGAGATCTAATTTACATACCATACAATTCACTCATTTAAAGTGCACAATTCAATAGTTTTTGCATATTACATTAATTGTTACAAACTGCCTTTTTTATGAAAGTAGATCATCTGTTTATTCAATCACTGTATTAAAACACAAGCAAAAGAACAATCAATAATTTTAGAACATACTATGAAAAGAATTTGAAATTGTGATGTCAAAGTGGCAATAGATTTCATCAGTTACCTTCAGTCATTCTTCACATTTATTTTTACATTTAACTTAGTCTCAATTCTACCATTTACTTTTTTCACAACACTAACAGGTTCTTTTTTATCCTTTAGAAAAGCATTTCCAAAGACTGGTATATATACCACGTTTTTCTTTTTTTAACTTTTTATTTAAATTTAATTTAATTAAATATACTGTATTATAGTTTCAGAGGTAGAATTTAGTGATTCATCAGTTGCATATAACACCCAGTGCTCATTCCATCACGTGCCCTCCTTAATGTCCATCACCCAGTTCCCCCATCCTCCCACCCATCTCCCCTCCAGCAACCCTCAGTTTGTTTCCTATACTTAAGAGTCTCTTATGGTTTGCCTCCCTCTCTGTTTTTACCTTATTTTATTTTTCCTTCCCTTCCCCTATGTTCATCGGATTTTTTTTCCTTAAATTCCACATAGGAATGAAATTATATGATATTTGTCTTTCTCTGACTGACTTATTTTGCTTAGCATAATATCCTCTACTTCCATCCATGTCGTTGCAAATGGCAAGATTTCATTCTTTTTGATGGCTGAGTAATATTCTCTCTCTCTCTCTATATATATACATACACATCACATCTCTATCCATTAATCTGTCGATTGACATCCATATTTTAGCTATTGAGGATATTGCTGCTATATATATTGGGGCACATGTGCCCCTTTGAATCGCTATGTTTGTAGCCTTTGGATAAATACCTAGTAGTGCAATTGCTGGGTCAGAGGGTAGCTCTCTTTTTAACTTTTTGAGGAACCTCCATACTGTTTTCCAGAGTGGCTGCACCAGTTTGTATTTCCACCAACAGTGTGAAAGTGTTCCCCTTTCTCCCTATCCTTGCCAACATCTGCTGTTTCCTGAGTTGTTCATTCTAGCCATTCTGACCTGTGTGAGGTGGTATCTCTTTAACATGAGTTAATACAGCATGTTTTCCCTCCCTAACCAGCCCTCCCCCCTTCCCAAGCACATTAAAATCTGTGTACTGCTTTTTTGGCTTAGTATTTTTTTAATAACCACTGAAGACTGGTTAATCACTGTGAAGCTAACCAGGATCCTACCTTACAGCTGAATTCTTATGGCTCAGCTTTCATTTACTTTTCACTTATCAACTTTCTATGACTTATTGCTTAAGAGCATAATCTTTGGAAACCATCAGTTCTGGGAAATCCTGAGCTTCAATTTTCTCTTCTGTAAAATGTGGATTATCATATCAAGAACTTTGCTTTGATATACATAAACATATACATATACATAAAGCCCCTAATACAATGCCTGACAAATAATAATAAATGGAAATTATTCATTTTCTTATTATGATCCTTTACAATGTGTGGTAGTTTATTGAGTTCATAAGATCTTTCCATGAATGCATGTAGTTTGATTTTAAATTGCTAATTTTAGAAGGGTTAAGACTTGTTTTTACTTCCGGGTATTATAGGAAAAAAAATCAGCATAATCTAATCAGAAATTCAAATGTTCAAGGCCCACTTCTACTGGAAATCTTCTGGCTAAGTTTTAAGAAAATGATTTAACATCTGGGCTGTCGTATCCTTACCAGCTCAGTGACAAACATACATAATTCTGTATAGCTCAATCATTCAATGGGATTGCATTAGATGACCCACAGTTCCATAATTCAATAGACCAAGATGCCACATATTCCTCCCTACCACTCTCCTCTCCCCTACCCTCATTCACCCAACCTATAATCATCTTTTTTTCATCAGTGAAAGCAATGACAAAACCCACATTCATACATAGTTGGAAAGTCTGCTGCCATTTTTTTCCTGGCCACTTACTAATGGAAAAGTACTGTGCCCTTTCTTGCAGGTTTTTTAAGACTGAGATGACATAGTTCTAAGGTGTCTGTAGGAAGATCATGGTGTTCAGTTTCATAATCCTAGAACAAGGAAAAAGATAATATTTAAAATAAAGATGGGAAGAATAAATAGACAGCATCAATAATCTCTGTCACAAACTTAACTGTGTTTTAGTATTACCCCAATATTTTCCTATATTTATTGATCTCACACATTAAGACCATAATATCCTTCTGAGATCAGATTATGTTTTGATATCTTGGCATTTCCTTCAAATAATAAGGAAGTGGGCTTTTTAAAGAAGTTCCCTTGACTTCCTTAGAATATCACAGCATATTTTCCAGACTCCCCAA